CAAAAGTTTGACCAACAGTTTGTACACTACCTTTAGCAGCGAAATCGGTCTCCAATTTCTTATATCACTCATGTCCCCTTTAAATTTTTGAACAGTAGGGAAATGATCCCCCTTGTTATGGTCCTGCCTAGCCTCCCCCCCTCCCGGATCTCATTGAACATTGCCACTAGGTCCCCGACCATCGCCTCCCAACATGCCATGAAGAACTCTACTTGCAAGTCGTCATCCCGACCATACCTTTTAGAGTAGCAGTGAGTTCTTCCTCCGTGATCGGCCTATCCAGTAGCAGTCTTCCCTCCAAAGGCAGTCTGCATTCCAGGTTGTTCCAGACAGGGGACTCCTCCGCCATGTTATCCTCTAGGCTGTCATACGGTCTCCTTGTGGTCAGGATGTCCTCGAAGTATTCTACCGCATAGCTGCACATTTTCTTGTTATCCACTAACATTGGTTTCCCCAAGAGATGCGGGTGCTTTAATTCTCTCATTTTGACCGCTGTGTTCCGTGGCAGCAGCCGTTTGAAGGCCTCTTTTGACAATCGATCTGACGAGACAATCCCTTTAGCTTCTAGGATTTTTGCTCTTCATTCTTCCTTTTTGATATGAGATACCTCCCACTTCTGAAGTCTCAACATCCTCTCTTCTGACCAGAAAAGGTTCGATAATGGGTTGTCCCCCAGTTTGCATTCTGCCTCCTCTACCCGCTGACGCAGTGCGATTTCCTCCCTGTTGCCATGATAAGCTAAAATCTGCGAGAAAGAATCTAGCTTGAGTGATACAATCCTCAGCCCTGCATCGACCCACTCGGCCGTGTTTGTGAACAACTGCTTAGCAGATCTCCAGTCCTCCCAGAAATCCTCAACCCATGCAGTGATCCCGGTGTCTGAGAGCAATGTCGTGTTAAGGCGAAAGTATCCTGGGCCTCTTTCCCCCACCTCTGCAACTGAGCATTTCATAACAACCGGTTTATGATCAGACAATGCTGCATTTAAGACCTCAATGTCCATAACATCCCCTCTGGCTTCCTCAGAAACCAAGAAGAAGTTTATTCTTCTCTTGATGCCGGCCTGCTGAGGAGTCTGGCCAAACCAGGTGTAGCCTGACTTGTTAGGATACAGTTCCCTATAAACATCTTTGAGCTCCCAGTGCTTCATCCAACTCAGCAGCCAGACACTTTCTGCAGACCAACCTCTGATCGACTCAGAATCAAGCCCAGGGATGCAAATCACATTCCCGTCACCCCCCACAATCAGGCGATTCGACTTAGGCAATACGTGTGGCAACAAGTCAAAGAAAACCGCTCTACTCCCAGCGTCATTCGGAGCGTACATTGTGGTGAAGACCCATTCAGCTCCTCCAATCAACAACTTTATCCAACACCAACGACCCCACGCGTCGCTGTCATAATCAACCAACTGGGCTTCTACCCAAGCATGTACCAAAATTGCCACTCCTCCTTTGGAACCTCGAGCAGGGGACCACAGTGGGGTCCCTCCCACCAGTCCCTGAACTGAGTTAGTTTGGCTTCTGACAACTTGGTCTCCTGCATCATTATAACATCCAGTCTTTCCTGATGAACCTACGCCTTGAAGCGCCTTCCTTTGCGGTGACCTGCGGCCCGTACATTTCTCGTAGCAATTCGAATCTTACCCATTGATATTCTGGGCAGAAGATGCAGATTGGATTCCTGTTGGGGGAGGGTTTTCCGCATGCGTGACTTCCTCACCGGATGCATCCATGTCTGCCCAGTCTTCACTAAGGCAGCGAAGGAACGGAGCGGAGGCCAAGTTGCATGTGCGAGACATGCTCGGATGTAGATTTGCTAAAAAGGTCGCAGCCACTCCTGGGCCCACAAGGACTTGAGAGAGGATATCGTTTGATACTTGAATCAGTGCATCCAATGAAAACGAATCCAAACCTACTAATTGAAGACCTGCCCACTGTTCGGAAGAAAAACGAGCATCAATAAAAACAATGGTATATCGAATCGCCCTATCATCATCGAGAACTACCCTAATCTTAGGCATATAAAACTTTGGAAAGATTCTAAATTGAAATTTGTCTGCGAACAGGTACCTAACTCTATCAGTGATGAGTGCCAGCATAGGAAGTTTCGATAGGCCTATCGCAAGGAGCGAGAAATTTTCCTCTCTGTCCAGCAGGCCAATCACGTAGACCTGGTTGTTTTGCAGAGAGAAAACCAGCGGGAGCAACATACTCTCTTCTTGATCTCTGATCGCTCGTCCAAGCGCAGGCGTGCCCACAGGTATGTCCCCAAAGGAGACCCACATTTCCAAATCAGCATGTGAGATCCTTGGCGACCCATCCCGACCATCGCTCTCTTCTTCTTCTGCTGAATCGGGTTTTTCCTCCACCTGAGTGGCTTGCTGCTGCTGTGGGACCAGGATGGATTCCCCTGTCTGTAGTCCCAAAGTTTTGTTTGGATCGCCTCTTTCTCCCCTGGCGGCAACCATCCCCGGTTAGCCATGATTAACGTCGCCGAAATTTGTACCATAGAATGGTAACGGGCCTGCTCCGTACATGTTTTGGTGAAGGAGCCCCAACTCTGCATAGTTGACTCTGAACGGGTGATATCCGTAACCCTGCCACTGGGTCGGACCCAACCTTGGCATGTAGGGCTAAAAGGCATTCCTAGAGCCTGTTGGCAGCATCACTAGTGTTGTAGGCATACTTGAATGACCCATCGGGGGCGGAGGGCGAGAAGCTGCTACTTGAACTCTTGCTCTTCCACCATGTTGCTGAGAAGGACCAACCCTTCTCATATCACCGGAGGTTGGACCACCGCTGCTTGCGGCACTCCCGGTGCCTCTTGGCAGGGACAACTCTCGTGATCTCCTCACGTCTCCACTTGCTACGCCTCGCCCTGAACCTCCTGCCGTTGCTGACGGCTGGGCTGATCCCCTGCTCTGGGCAAGGTCATCCTTTTGTCTGGCCGCTAAACGAATCTCCCGGTTGCCTTCTGGCCATTGCGTGCGACCCGATCGGTTGTTTCCTGGATGCTGCCGTTGTCTGCTTGACTCACCCGCTGGGTCCTCGTTTGCCTTTGGGCAATCGTCGTGTGTCGTATGGAACCACCACTTACACCTCTCACACCAGGGAGTGTGTTTGCACGCAAACTTGATCCGCAACACTTCCTGCCCGAGCCTAATCGACAGTTCCGGTTCGAAATTACCCTCTGCTTCTTTCACCAGATCGAATTTAAGGTTCATGAGCTTAGGTCTCGTTCGGTCCTGCTCTGGGGGCTGACAGTTAATTACATGTCCCATTGCAGTTTCCACCATGCTTTCCCTGTGAAACATGGCTCTCAAGGGGACCCTGATAGCCATCACCCAAAATTTTGTCTCGTCTTCCAGCCGCCTACGTTCGTCTAGCTCCATCCGAGTGAGCCATGGTTTGAAGAGCATCCCATATTCCACTCCCCTGATAGTCATCGTGTTGTCCGCTTTTGCCACCATCCATTGCGCAATCTCCTTTGATCTGGCCACATAGGAGACCACATTCGGCCCCTCCGCATGGACTCTGCCCCGTTTCGTACTTCGGTCGAAGATCCTCTGCCTATACCAGCCAATTTCATAGCTCTTATCAAATCCTCTCGTACCCTCATCGACAGGTCCCTGGCTTCACCCTGGAATATTATCGTTACCGTTCTCTCCTTTAGCTAGTTCATCGTCAGTTTGTCTAGCCGAGCGTTGACTACGAAAGTTCGAATGCCGCCTTCCACCACCCACTCCCCGTGCCAAAACTTTTCCGGAAGCAAACCGTCATCGTAGCACTTGGAGATAAGTAGCCTCATCCGGTCTTCGTCGAACATAGGCACGTCGGCACGTCCAGGAGGAGAACGTCCTCTCCCCCCTTGTTGACCTGAAGGGCCTCCTTGCTCCACCATGATCCGATGCCAACTTCTCCTCGAGCCCTTTTCTTCTGCCTCGGACTTGCCTTGGGGGCACCTTCTGGACTTCCGTTTTACTTCGCTGAATGGAAACCAGAGGCTTACCTGGCTGACTGACGAACCCTTGTACCCGTTCCTTGTCCCTACGACGGACATAGCTCAACTCCTAACCACTTCTCTTGTAAATCCACTGAACTAACTTGATTGCGTCAACGGTGGGCACAGCGGCGCACGCCCACATTAGACCCTCACGCGTGCCCGCCCACATTAGACCCTCACGCCCGCAGATTCTCCGTATGTCCTATATGCTCGCACATATCTCACCCTTATCGTTGATATGATATGGGGGGACAGCCGCTCGGCCGACCTTCACAGAAGCTTGCTCGGAAACTACCGAACACGACGACCAAATTCGCCATGAACATCACGTTGACGTCACCTGGCGATGGCTGAACCAGTACTACCTGGAAGTACGGGTTTAGAGAGTCTGGGGCCAACCACCGTACCCCCCCGGGCCTTGAGTCCGCTTGAAGCGCTGAGCCAGACCGCGCGATTTCCCCGGCCCGGTAACGCGGTACCGCCGCAGGAATAGCGGTGCAGGCGCTGCAAGAGGACTCGCGGACCTCTTGCTATTATTTTCTCTCCCGACACAGAGAAGAGAAGAGAAGATTAGCATAGCCCCTGCGCGAGGAAAAGTTGTAGTAACGACGCATAAATCGAGGAAAAGTTTTAGTAACGACGTTCGCGCCCTTCGCGGACGTGTTGCCACGACACACTCAAACTCAAACGAAACGCGTGCAAAATATTTCGGCGGCCGCGACAACATCGGAAAGTCGTGGGACCTCAAAACTATACACTGTACCTGGGCTGTAGTGTAGTGGTGGGATCAGACTCTCAGTCGAGATCGCTCTCGGGGGCTGACTGTGCACGCCGCCCTCCGCCGCCCGCCCCCCGCCCTCCGCCCTCCGCGCTGCAGCGGCGTACATGCGTGGTGGTGGAGGAGGGGGAGGCGAGGCTGAGGTGGCCATCACCGAATTGGAGCTATGTGTCACGTCGACTTTTGACGAACCGTTGGAATAGTGAAGAGGGAGCGACGAAACGGAAAGCGGCGGACAGAGGCGGAAAACGGCGGAAGGAGGGGGAAGGAGGGGGAAGGCGGCGGAAGGAGGCGGAAGGAGTAGTGGCGATGGGAAATGATGGATGGGGAGAGAGGATTCTAGAAAGGAGTGAAGGATAAGGAAAGTAGGGAGGGCGGTTTGGAGGCGGGGGGGGTAAGGGGGAAAAAAGATAGGTAGGGAGGAAAAGCGGGCGGAGAGGAGGTGAAAGGGAGAGGAGAACCGAGAGAGGAGACGAGGTGTTGCCGCCGGAGAGAGGAGGGCTGGAGGAGGACAGGGAGAAGGAAAGAGGGAGGGTACGGTGCGAGGCAGGAAGGCTGGGAGAGAGAGCAAAGGAAGGAGGGAGGGAGGGAGGGAGGGAGGGAGGGAGGGAGGGAGGAGGAGCCAGGGCGGATAGCAGGTAGGTAGGTCAGGCAGGCGAAACCATGGCATCTGCGTATGGAGCGAGCATGTCCACAGGCGCGGCGAGGTTGTTCGCGGGCGCAATGCGAGCTCCGCCGTCCCGATTGTCCTGGTCGGCGTCCATGTGTCCAATCGGTCGTTGGTTGGACCGACCGGCGGTCCTTGCGCCGATGTCAGCGCAGCAGCCTGCGCAGCTGTTGAGTGTACGGTCGGCATGGACGCGGCGGTCCGCCGCGGAGAAGAAGGCGCAGAGTCAAAAGAACCAGGCGAAGAAGTCGTGGGGACAAAGGACCGAGAAATACCTCAAGCCGTTCATGATGGATGTCTTTATTTCAAATCGGTACATTCATGCGAAGATCGTCCATAGAGTGACAAGCAGGGTGGTAGCCGTGGCCACGACCAACGCCAAGGACCTGAGGAACTCGCTGCAGTCTCTGTGCGATTACAATGCCTGCAGAGTGGTTGGGCAGCTGCTAGCAGAGCGCGCCAAAGAGGCGGACATTTACGCCGTAGTCTTCGAGCTGAGAGCGGGGGAGAAGTACGATGGCAAGCTGGCGGAAGTGGTGGACACCTTTGCAAAAAATGGGATTTCTCTCATATGAAGTAGGATCGCGTTCGCGCAGCATAAGCATCATTGCCCCCCCCCCTCCTCCCTCCGCCGCTCTTCCCTCTCTTCTCCCCTCCCCTCCCACCAGACCCGCTTCTCTCTGTCTCTGTTTTGCTATGTTGTCCTCCCTTTGCTTGTCTCTCTCTCTCTCTCTCTCTCTCTCTCTCTCTCTCTCTCTCTCTCTCTCTCTCTCTCTTCCTTTCTACCTATGCTCGCTTTTGCAGTGCCCATCCCCATGTCTTGATGTCGCTGTGCCTCTGGGGCATGATGGGTTGGTTTCTCTCTCTCTCTCTCTCTCTCTCTCTCTCTCTCGCTTTTTCTCACAGGCGCGGTGATTCTCTGTTGCTCTTTCCGCCCGCTCAGTTATGTGCTCTCGCTAAGGCTCCCCCACTCCTGCTGCCTCCCTCTCTGTCTCTCTTTCCGTGGTGGATGCGCGTGTGCGTTGTGTATCGCGCTTTTTCTCTCTCTGACAGCCTCTTTCATGCTCTCTGCCTGCCACGTCGCTCTCTGCACTCTGTCTTTTCTTCCCCGTGCCTCCGCTTGTCCTCTTTCCTCGCTCTGTTTGTTCTCAATGCAGAATCGAAGTTTTCGACTACGAGCGAGCGAGCGAGCGCGCGAGAGAGAGAGAAAAAGAGAGAGAGAGAGAGAGAGAGAGAGAGAGAGAGAGAGAGAGAGAGAGAGAGAGAGAGAGAGAGAGAGAGAGAGAGAGAAAAGGGGGGAGGCCACTTCTCTCACGATGGGTTGAAAATGACACAGGGGCACACATTGAGACATCGTCGTCGTAGCTTCCGAAAGTAGTGTCGAGTGGAATTGACTATCATAAGAATGGACATCGTCGTCAATGCCAGCGATGTCGGCGATAACAAGCAGAAGTTATATTGATGATGGAGTCGATTTGTCCTTTTGCTGTGTCGATGATCTTGCTTGAAGTTTTACTGTAATTGCTCGCACAATGAGAATGGGAAAGATGTTCGTGGGATGACGATGTTGATAGCTGTGGGCATGGTGGCAAGAATAGTGTGATGATGCTGATTCCGGTAGGGAGGAGGAAAGCGGGGATGAAGAGTAGGAGCAGGAGGAGGAGGTTGAGTGGAAGGAGGAGGAGGAGGAGGATGATGATGAGGAGGAGGAGGTTGAGGAGGAGGAGGAGGAGGTTGAGGAGGAGGAGGAGGAGGAGAATTGTCTATTGACTGCATTGGCGGCCAAATGCAAGACGCCATGTGTACAGANGGATGAAGAGTAGGAGCAGGAGGAGGAGGTTGAGTGGGAGGAGGAGGAGGAGGAGGAGGAGGAGGAGGAGGAGGAGGTTGAGGAGGAGGAGGAGGAGGAGGAGGAGGAGGAGGAGGAGGAGAATTGTCTATTGACTGCATTGGCGGCCAAATGCAAGACGCCATGTGTACAGAAGACTGAGGATTGTAGCCTGCTGCATGTCCGTTGTATCCACTGACCCTTCTCGTGTTCCCGTTTGCTGCGTTTGCCGGTCGGCAGTCTCTGCCGATAGCATGAATGGACTAACGCTGCTGCCTTACCCTGCCTTGCTGCTGCTATCTCCCGCTCTCTCCTCTTCCTTTCTCTCGTCTACCTTTCCCTCCTGTCCCTCTCTCTGCTCTCCCTTTCGCTCCTCTCGCTCTCCCGCCTCTCCCTCTCTCTCAATTTCAATCATCATTCTTCAATCTTGCGTTGGGAAACCGCCACCTGTTTTTTCCTGTCATCTGATTTGTCGTGTGATTGATTGGTCTCTGCCACGTCAGCCACGTCAGCCCCAAGTTGCCCGGGCACCTGACCGGGTGTTAACAAAGCGCGCGAAAGTTTGCCACCTGACCGGGTGTTAAAAAAGGGCGGGAAAGTTTGGCCGCGGGTGTTAAAAAAAGGGCGGGAAAGTTTGGCCGCGGGTGTTAAAAAAGGGCGGGAAAGTTTGGCCGCGGGTGTTAAAAAAGGGCGGGAAAGTTTGGCCGGGTATGTACTTTGGTCCAGTAAGGTGAAGGTGTCCTTGACCCACTTGCTGGTGCCAGCCAGACAAAACATTCCACGTGTCGAGGCCCGGGGCCACCCTGATTTTTTTTTTTTGTTTTTTTTCTGTTTTTTTTGTGTTTTTTTGTTTTGACTGGGGGTAGTTTAGAGGGTGTGAATGTTTGCCAAGGTCTTTAGAAAATGCCGAGATCGGAATTGGCATCTGCACGCCAAAAAGTGGTAAACGAACCAATAAGGGACAGCAAAGTGCATATAAAAAAAAAAATAAAAAAAAAATCCCTGGTACTGTACTAGGCTACCAGCCGGGCCGCCCGGGTCAGCATGTTTTCCCGGCCGGCCTGGCCGTGCAAGGACCAGGGGAAGGTCCCAGCAAAAAAAAAAAAAAATCCGAAAAAAAACTATGTTGTGCAGAAAAATAAACTGAACAACTTTTGCCTCAGGGTCGCATCCAAATTCTTTACCAAATTTAAAATAAAAATAAAATAAGAAACTAAATTTATTTATATATTCTTTTCCATTTTTTTGGCCCGGCCGGGGAAGTGGTCCCGGGCCACTCTGGTAGCCTAGCTTGTACATCACAATACGAATTATTACGAGGCATGGATGGGGCGCCATAGCCAGTTGTGCTACCATGGGGAGAGAGAGAGAGAGAGAGAGAGAGAGAGAGAGAGAGAGAGAGAGAGAGAGAGAGAGAGAGAGAGAGAGAGAGTACATTTTGTTGTGTTCGGAGGAAGACGCAGTGTGTGGTAATACATCGTTTCATCGAATGTCAGAAAATGGGGGTGCTGGGGGCTTTAAGTTTCACCGCGGTAAGTGGGGTTTCAGTGTTTTCCCGCAGTATAGGGGGGAGGTTTAGGTCGCCCCGGTAAATGGGCGGCTTAAGTGTTTGCCCTGGTTAACGGGGCCGTTAGGGTTTTCGCCGCCGTTAACAGGGTTTTTAGGGTTTGCCCCTGTAAATGGGGGCCTTAGGGTTTTCCAATGGCGTTAGCAGAGGTTCAGGGTTTGCCCCGGTAAACCGGGACCTTAGGGTTTTTTAGCAGGGGTTTAGGGTTTGTGCCCGGGTAAATGGGGGCCTTAGGGTTTTCCCCCCGTTATGGGAGGGTTACGGTTTCCCTCCAGAGAACTTGGGGTTTTAGAGTGAGCTTCACCCGGTCAGACGCATATCCCCTGCTGCAAACACCAGAAAACCCCGAAATTCGGAACCAGCTGGTATCTTTGGTTGGCAAAGTGCAGTTGCTCTCTCTCTCTCTCTCTCTCTCTCTCTCTCTCTCTCTCTCTCGCTCTCTCTCTCTGTATCTGTGCTACGGCCAGTATGGGAAGAATCTGGCCACATTTCTGCGCTTAATGTATCCCAGAAGTGTGGCCAGGTTCAGTCAAACGTGAACCCTGCTTTCTCTCTCTCTCTCTGTCTCTCTCGCTGTCTCTCTGTCTCTCTGTTTCTCTCTCTCTCTCTCTCTCTCTCTCTCTCTTTCTCTCTCTCGTCCTATTTTTGGTAGGCTATCACGGGAAAGAGTCTGGCCACATTTTTGCGCCGAATGTCGAGTGGAAGTGTGGCCTGATACACTCCAAAGTGGTCGCTGCTCTCTCTCTCCCCCTCCCTCTCTTTCTCATTCTCTCTTTTACGGTCATTACAGGAGGACTCCACCCACAATTTTGTGCTGAATGTCACTGTGAAACATGGCCACATTCATTTGAAAGTGCCACCTGTGCTGGCTCGCCCTGTCTCTCTCTGCTACGGCCATGACCGGAAGAATCTGCCCACATTTTTCTGCTGAATGTAACGCAAAAGCGTGGCCACATTTTCTACCTATCTATCTACCTATCTATCTATCTACCTATCTATCTACCTATCTGTCTACCTATCTACCTATCTATAATCTATAATATAATATGATATAATATAATATAATATGAGTCGGTGAAACTCCGACGAAACAGTTTGTCACAGCCCCTCGTTTGTTGTCCTCTTCTCTCTCTCTGCCTACGGTTTACCGGGCAGTTCTATTTGTGACGATATATAATAATACTTAAAGGAAGGAGTGGTCCTCGGAAGACGCTCCCTCCGGGCCCAGTGGTGCGCGGGCTGGAGTTTTTTTCTGAACCCGCTGTGGCGGGGTCGAGGTTGCCTACCGTCTTCCCCCGAACATAACGCACCCTGATAATGAATGTATGCAAGCTATCTTTCCGGTCCGGTGCAGCCATAATGAGGGTGCGTTGTGTTCGGGGGAAGACGGTACCACACGGCCTTCTTTTTTCCCTTTGCCGCTTTTGCTCCGAGCTGGCTGCTGTTATCTGTTATCTGGCTGGGCGGGTTTGTCCTTTTCTGCCAATGGCGCAGGTTCTAATACGAGGGCCTGCACGGGCCTGCACGGGTTTGTCGTTTTCTCTGACAAATCCCGAATCTTTCCTCCCGAATCTTTCCCGCGTGATGTTTACCTCTCCCAGACGTTCGAATACAAGTACATGCCAATTGCCATGGGGTCTACACGTACATACCAGACGCAATAAAAGACAGAATATGGAGGTGCAAAATTAGAGTGGATCTTCCCCTAGAACATGAACAGATGCACCGCCGTAATTTTTGCCTTTTGTGCACACATTATGGCGGAGTATCTTTCTTTTTTTTTTTTTTTTTTCCTTTTTTGTCTTTTCTTTCTTGCACAGGGGCCATGCTAATATTCTCTGTATCATTCCATGTTCTAGTGGAAGATTCGTTCTTCAGTCTCATTTTGCACATTTGGTGAGGTGTGGAGAGAGGCCCTGATTCGCGCGCCTTTTTTTTCTCTTTTTCCCCCCTTCAAACTTGGCTATAAAAAATCATGAGGGCGCTGCTCACCACATGTAGGACGATTAAAAATAATAATAAAAAATAAATAAAAAAAATTGCAGACGATTCATTCCATTTTACTTATTTGATATGGCGGTGTTTCTTACCATGCTCTGCGGGAAGATTCATTCGCATTTTATACTTATTTGATGAGTAGGGGGAAGTAAGGCCCTGATTTGCCCACTTTTTTTTTTCCTT